CTCCTCTCCTCTACTCTCCTCTCTCCCCTCTCTCTCTCCTCTCTCCCTCTTCTCTCTCTCTCCTTCTCCCCTCTCTCTCCTTCTCTCCTTTTTCCTCCTCCTCCTCCTCCTCCTCTTCCTCCTCCTCGTCCTCCTCCTTCTTTTCCTCCTCGTCCTCCTCCTTTTTCTCCTCCTCCTCCTCCTCCCTCTCTCTCTCCCTCTCCCTTTGACAAAAGGCTTGTGGTAAGGCCTTTCCTGGCACCCAGAAGGATATAGCTTTTTAATTTTTGTGACTCATGAGAGGATTTGGCTAGAATACAAATGCTGAAGGAGCCCAAACTCCTGTAAGGTTAAGCATTTGTAGAGCAGAACTCTGCAGTTAAAGGCTTTCCCTTTCTACCACCTCTCTACTTTTCTTCTTCTTTTTTCTTTTCCTTTTTTTTAAACCTTTCCCTTTTAGTTCTTTATTGTGTCTGTGGAAAAGTGAGCAAAATTGGCTAAAGAGGCTGTGTGAAATTCTGAACAACAGTGATGACTTACAATAATTTACATCGTTGGATTGTATCACATTCTGGGGTCTGCTTCATATTTGCTAGGGTGGCTGGATTCCTTCTGTTTTCCGTTTTCTTGTCTTCTTAAACTTGTGAATCTGTAACTCATTGTAAAAAAGTTTACCTTTCTTAGGGTCTGGTTGCAAACTGTTTGCTGGGCTTGACTGTAATTGGCTGTCAAGAAAGCGTTAGTCTGGGTACTTTACAAATACTTCACAAATACTAAATCACGTCTGTATAGTTTATTTACAATATTATATGGTGGCTCTTACAATAAAATTTAAATGTAATTAGTATTTTTTGTATTATGTATACTTTTACCTCATGACTAGTTTGAAGATTGTAAATGAATGGCAAGAATTATAATAGCTTGTTGAAAGAATCTTAGTTTTATTTGTGATTGTAACTATCATTCAAGAAAGTGTATTCATTTTGTATAATTCTTTAGTTGGTTTGGACATTAAAAGAGCTTTTGATTGCAGATGTTTATATTATATATATAAATATAGATATAGATATATTTATATTTATATACATATAGTAAAATTTGTTGTGAACTCAGCATTTAGTGGGTTAACAGAAGCTGTATTTTTTGTTTATAATGGAAGCTTTGAAATAAATTACAAAATGCTGTGTGTAGTAAGGAATAATGCACACAGACAGTATGCTAGTCGTCTCGATTTGCTAATTCTGATTCAGAAGAAAATTGAAAACATCTTTGGGAAACTATCTCTTTCTCTTTTTTGGCCCTTTGGACATGTATGTATAGAACTCATTTTCTTATTAGGATGATTATATATCATAGGCAGTGAATTTTATATTTATGAATAGAGCTTCCTGTTTTCATCAGTTGAGAGTGATGAGGTATTTTTCAACAAAGATTATAAAGGCGAATAGACCAATTTTCTAAGCATTTTTTGCCATTTACCCATGCCACTCATAATTTGCATGTTAGACTTTGTCCTGGCATGATAGTAACTAGGAGTGTCACATAAATAACTGGGAGGGAGGGCAGAGATGATGGATTGATTACAAAGGATTATTTGGGCTATACAGTGGAGTAAAAGGGAGTAAAGGAGGGGTTTGAGGGTGTTAGAATTGACATAGCCTTGTATATATTCTTTCTAACGCAGTTCATTATCTGCTTTTGGTTCATATTAGATAACGACAACTATACAAATATGTCAATAAGATTCTTTACAAAAAATAGTTATTCCAGAATACACTGAGAGGACATGGGAATGATGTCCTCCTTTAATCCTTTATTGCTCAAATTATTCAAATGTCCAGAGGCCTTTTTGAATAAACTTCTAGTGATAAAACTGCAGATATACACTTTGGTGCATTATTTTAAATATAGATTTATTATGCCATACTGTAGATGTAAAAAGGGCTTACATTGAAAAGAAAAGGTTTTCATTTAACATGTATTCATACAAAGAGAGAAGTTATAAATAAGGTGTACCAATATGATCTCTGTCTCTTTTATCCAAAGGAAGTAAAAGATTTTGTTCATAAAATTTGTGAAATTGCCAAATGTAGTTTCATATGCACAAATAATAGCGAGTCAGGCTATTGAAAAAAATGTAAGTGGCTGCTATCTAGTGTGGTAACCAAGCACTTTTCTTTTTTTAAAGTAAGTTTATAGTGTCTACATTAGGATTTTCTGACATAAACCATAAGTTTTTGCCCAGTGTTCTCTTTCTTAAAGGTTTGAAAAAATTATCTTACACACTTTGGCTCTTCAAGGTCACATAAAATGAATTAGAATAATTTTAACATCTATCTGTCTTCTAACTGCTTGTCCTCTTTTTGCAGACACCCCCACTCTCTAGTCTTTGGGTCAGGATCTTACTGTTATTGTAGAAGTGTTTGCTGGATAAATGTTGAATATGCCCTTTTTTGTTCCGTGAGGCTTATCAAGTTCTGGCAAGAGAAAGAAATTATGTGTTTTAAAGTTTGTGTATTCACTATCCACATATATTTTCCTCCTCTAAATTAAAAATATGTTCTCTTTGAAGTGCATATCACTTTGTGGTAACTGGTTGTACATTTGACAATTGACAGTACGTTACATAGAGATAGCTTACTTTGTGTGATGAAGAGAGCTATAATTCATTGCAAACACAACTCTTGATTATAGATTTATATCAAGCTTATAATCAGAAATTGAAATCACAGATTACTTCTTTCTAAAGACCCTTAAAACATCATACTGTATGGGGTATGTTAATATTTGCTGTGTGGAAGTTAGCAACAAATATAGGTCCACGCTGTACGGTATGTGCTTTAATGCTAAGGAAATAAAATATGATTTTTGAATTTGAAATCAGTTTATAAAAAACTAGGAAGTTAGTGTCTTGCTTTCCTGTTATTTTATGTTTTATAAAAATTGCCAAAATTCATCAAACATTTAAAAATACAATAACATTTATAGTATAGCTATAAAATACTTAAAATGCTAATCTGTTTTCATTACCTTCTGAATTTTTCCTTGATTTTATTTTAATATAGTAGTTTCACTTTTATCAATAATGTACTGTTTCCATTATTTTTTCTTAGGAATTCTTTTAATCTGATATTTGCTGCTTTTCTATTCTTTTAATAGATAACAGGAGAAAATTATTTTTAAAATATTGTGATTATGAGGTTTTAATAATCTTAGTTTAACTTGGTGTTTGATAGTTTAAATTTAATTTTTTTCACAATTTTTCTTTTTCCAGGTCTGATAGATTGCTGTTAAAGCTTATCTTGCACTTTTGAGCCTTATATTGATGAAACATTTTTTGTAATAGCAAGAGGTATATAGTTTTCCATTTTGAATTGTGATTTTAAGAGGTTAATTCTGCTTCCTTATTCCAGTTTTTCTAGTTTCTCCTTCCCATGTTTTGACATTTCTGTATGGCTCAAAGTAGAGTGTTAAAGTTCTAGTAGAGATATCAATGTTAATTTTCACTAACAAATAGTAACTTTGAAGCTCTTAACATTAATTGCAAATTGTTATGTCTTGACATATTACACCTCATTTGGAGAGTAGTGGCATTTGGTTACAGAGTTATTTTTTTCTTTTCCCTGTTTTAAGTTGTTCCTTGAATCCTTTCTTTATGCTAATTTACTTTAAACATTTCACTTGACATTAACACTTTAATTATAAGGATTACTTTGTTTTTCTTTGCAGAGTCATCCACACTTGTTTAATGTAGCTGTGTGTTTTATTTCTTATAATTACTAGAACAGTTCATCTTCTAATGCTGTCATTTTTGAAAGAATAAAAAAAAAGGCGACAACTTGCAGAAAATATGTGAAACATGCTCATATGACAGCTGAGGATGTGGCTAGACTAAAGCAGGAAACTGCTACCCACAATGCAGTGTTACATACACGGCCACTTAATAAAATTTATATCAAACATGCTACTGACAAAACCAAAGAAAAATAATATCCCAACTATGCTAGTTAATATATCTAGAGAAAAGTGAAATTAATCTGTGGTACTTGTATTTAGAGAATATAGTGATGAAACCCTTGGATGTCACAGTGTTGGGGCACTGTAATTAAAGTTTGCCTTTGTATTTTGGGGCTTGACTGTAATAAATGAAATTGTCCTACAGTGAGAACCTTTTGAAGATCAGTTTCTTCAAAAAGGCATTAAAAGCTACCCCTCTCCTTTTCATTTGAATAGTTTTAATATTAAACAGAGGATATTATCATTTGGAAGGAAAAAATAAAATTTAAGTTACTTATTCTGATTACCTAGTTTTTCATATTGCTATATATATTTTTTTTACACTTTGTCTTATTGCCTGGTTGGGAGTGGAGCTTGACTTGTCTGTTAAGATATATTTCTTAGTAATATATA